TGGACGAAATGACTATAATGCCAGGACAATAATGGACAAAATGACTATAATGCCAGGGCAATAATGGACAAAATTACTATAATACCAGGACAATAATTGACGAAATTACTATGATGCAAAGGCAATAATGGACGAATATAACTATAATGCCAGGGCAATAATGAACAAAATGACTATAATGCCAGGGCAATAATTGACGAAATTACTAAAATGCCAGGACAATAATTGACGAAATTACTATAATGCCAGGGCAATAATTGACGAAATGACTAAAATGCCAGGGCAATAATGGACGAAATTACTATAATACCAGGACAATAATGGACGAAATTACTATAATGCCAGGGCAATAATGGACGAAATTACTATAATGCCAGGACAATAATGGACAAAATTACTATAATACCAGGACAATAATGGACAAAATTACTATATACCAGGACAATAATGGACGAAATGACTATAATGCCAGGACAATAATGAACAAAATGACTATAATGCCAGGGCAATAATTGACGAAATTACTAAAATGCCAGGACAATAATTGACGAAATTACTATAATGCCAGGGCAATAATTGACGAAATAACTAAAATGCCAGGGCAATAATGGACGAAATTACTATAATACCAGGACAATAATGGACGAAATTACTATAATGCCAGGACAATAATGGACAAAATTACTATAATACCAGGACAATAATGGACAAAATTACTATATACCAGGACAATAATGGACGAAATGACTATAATGCCAGGACAATAATGGACGAAATGACTAAAATGCCAGGGCAATAATGGACGAAATTACTATAATACCAGGACAATAATGAACGAAATGACTATAATGCCAGGACAATAATGGACGAAATGACTATAATGCCAGGGCAATAATGGACAAAATTACTATAATGCCAGGACAATAATTGACGAAATGACTATGATGCAAAGGCAATAATGGGCGAATATTACTATAATGCCAGGGCAATAATGGACGAACTACTAAAATGCCAGGGCAATAATGGACGAAATGACTATAATGCCAGGACAATAATGGACAAAATGACTATAATACCAGGACAATAATGGACGAAATGACTATAATGCCAGGACAATAATGGACGAAATGACTATAATGCCAGGACAATAATGAACGAAATGACTATAATGCCAGGGCAATAATGGACGAATTACTAAAATGCCAGGACAATAATTGACGAAATTACTATAATGCCAGGGCATTGGATGAATTACTAAAATGCCAGGATAGTAATTGACGAAATTATTAAAATGCCAGGGCAATAATGGACGAAATTACTAAAATACCAGGGCAATAATGGACGAATAACTAAAATGCCAGGATAGTAATTGACGAAATTACTAAAATGCCAGGACAATAATGGACGAAAATACTAAAATACCAGGGCAATAATGGACGAATTACTAAAATGCCAGGATAGTAATTGACGAAATTACTATAATGCCAGTGCAATATTGGATGTATAACTAAAATGCCAGGATAGTAATTGACGAAATTATTAAAATGCCAGGATAGTAATTGACGAAATTATTAAAATACCAGGGCAATAATGGACGAAATTACTATAATACCAGGACAATAATGGACGAAATGACTATAATGCCATGGCAATAATGTACGAAATTACTATAATGCCAGGATAGTAATTGACGAAATTACTAAAATGCCAGGACAATAATGGACGAAATTACTAAAATACCAGGGCAATAATGGACGAATTACTAAAATGCCAGGATAGTAATTGACGAAATTACTATAATGCCAGTGCAATATTGGATGAATTACTAAAATGCCAGGATAGTAATTGACGAAATTATTAAAATGCCAGGACAATAATGGACGAAATTACTAAAATACCAGGGCAATAATGGACGAAATTACTATAATGCCAGGACAATAATTGACGAAATTACTAAAATACCAGGGCAATAATGGACGAATTACTAAAATGCCAGGATAGTAATTGACGAAATTACTATAATGCCAGTGCAATATTGGATGAATTACTAAAATGCCAGGATAAGTAATTGACGAAATTATTAAAATGCCAGGACAATAATGGACGAAATTACTAAAATACCAGGGCAATAATGGACGAAATTACTATAATGCCAGGATAGTAATTGACGAAATTACTAAAATGCCAGGACAATAATGGACGAAATTACTAAAATACCAGGGCAATAATGGACGAATTACTAAAATGCCAGGATAGTAATTGACGAAATTACTATAATGCCAGTGCAATATTGGATGAATTACTAAAATGCCAGGATAGTAATTGACGAAATTATTAAAATGCCAGGACAATAATGGACGAAATTACTAAAATACCAGGGCAATAATGGACGAAATTACTATAATGCCAGGACAATAATTGACGAAATTACTAAAATGCCAGGGCAATAATGGACGAAATTACTATAATGTAAGGCAATAATGGACAAAATTACTATAATGTAAGGCAATAATGGACTTTACTACAATACCAGAACAATAATGAATGAAATTAAACAATTAATCAATTTCAATCATAGTTGAACTGAATAAAAATATTAATCAAATAAATATTGAAAAACGTGTTAAACAAATTTACAAAGAACAGCATACATTTCGGGTTATTTTCCAATAAATCCGCCAATGGGACGAGAAAATATCAATCTTTGATGATATAACAATGATTTTTTTTCGAAATTATGAATAACAAATCTGTTAATGTGTAGCTAGCCCATGCATTGGTTCGCATTGACTGTTTGTCATGACGTGTTTGATTTGTCTTTTGCAAGCTGTCACATATCATCGTTGGTTTATTTGTAGTCTGCTCGTTCGTCCGCATACTACATGTACATTGACAAATACATATCATTATGTATGTATTTATAGTGAAGGAATACTATATTTTCATTTACCATCATGTACCAACATGAAATGCCGTGTGTCCGTATGCATGTCCCTGTTCGCTGATTTGTGTGTAACAGTAAGTACAGTAAAATTATTTTTCACGTATACAGTATTTCATATCGTAAAGCCTAATAATTATACGGTCATATAATCGTCACGTTTTATAATTTTGGTGCATTTTGTCTTATATAATTCAATTAATCCAACCAGTATTTTTTTCTGGGCACACTTGAAATAATAATAACGACTCCGAATGACATGAAATCGAACATGGGTAACCCAGGACTCGTCGTATTACATAGTACGCCCTCTATCAACGATGCGGTAAACAAGACACATTACCCACCAGACAGCTAAATGTCAGTAAAATTTGAATAACATTTGCTTCGTATGACAATGTCATACTAAATATGCAGAATGTTTTCTGATATTAATATGACAATTTATTACTAGTCTGGGGTTTTATTAACTTGTTAAATATTTACAGACATTCCGTCCACATTATAGGTTGAGATGCAATTAACATATGGCGTATTTTGCATTCACGTGTATCGTATAAAGATGACGTCAAAATGGAAAAAGAGCCCAAGGAGTTGGAATGTACGACTGGTTGCCATGGTAATGCCAGTGTGCGTAATAGTATTTATTTTTATGGTGTGCTATTCTAATGTTTCAGGACATTTCCCGGTTTATAAAGTAAGTCGTATATTGTCTTCGTATTTATCATGTACACTTTCAAATGACGGCGCTCTCCATGACAACCGTTAATTACTTGTAGGTTGATTAAGATCAATAAAAAACATGAATAGTAGCTGAATATAACAACTAATGTCCAATATAATCCACTTTCTTTTTCTTTGATTATAACATATGTTCATAACATTTTGTGAAATGTGGTTACAGCAAGAAATTGACACTACTTTTGCGTGACTAGAACATCAATATGCAGTATTTTTTTTATGTTACGGTACTGCCCAAGACCAAAAATAAAAAAAATGGTCACAGAATACATGGTCGACACATCACAGATTTTATTGGATTCGATTGCGTATACCTTATAAACAAATCGATTTTTTCGTTCTCATCGACACACCCGTGAATAGTATATTTTTGTTATTTAGTTTTGTGTGAATTAAGTAACGGCGAACACACAACGGCCTTTCATAAATGATTGTACTAGTGAGACATTGCACCAACAATATTAAATGTACCACAGTTTCTCTATAGACTCTATAGAAATGTGACATTTCGACCACGACATGCATAACAAATTCTAGTACCACATGCAAATTTGAGTTTCGTGTTTTTTAGACAATGCCTTGTAATAATTGAGTAAACTTTATTACGATCAAATGTCAGGAAAAGTGTCATCAAACGTTTTCAGCTGTATACTTGTATCTGTCTCCTTCAGGTATTGGAGCCAAAGCTACAACAAACGTATTCCACCAATCACGATGCTTACACAGAACACGGGTCACGTGACACACACTACGTAACAGCTCCAAAGGACACTGTAACGGACGCAACGGATGACGTAACAAACCAAGAATATACGGAAGGAAAGGGGACATTGCATTCAAATTTGACTGTAAACCAAGTTTTGCAATCATCAGTTGATACAAGATCTAATTTAAATGTTGTGACATCGGAACAGATTTCCACGCAGTCAGACCAATTTACAAATAAAGCAGATGAACAAAACGTGATAACGCCAAGCTACACGTCCATTACAGATATACCGACCCAAGACAGTCCCACAAATTATACATTTCCCGCAACAACTGTATCTGTTGACAAATCGCCACATCAAATAACAAATACCACTTATTTACTAATGGTTGCGTTTATTAATCCTAACTCGGGCCCTCAGAACCATTACCGCCGCCTCAGACTGGGTCTTGCTGTAGCCATGTCTCAGAACCGGAGTTATGTCACTTATCCATTCCGTAACCATATCACAGACACGGATCGGGGTCGACTTCGTACATTTAATGAGACCTGGGACATCAACAAATTAAACCAACTCATTCCTGTAATTGAGCACAGTACGTTGTATTCGAAATGTAAAGAAGACATTGCAATATTCAACGACCACCCGTCTCAGAATATAATCACCGGCATGCAGAGGGACATTGGTGTTGCTTTCAGCAGAGACGACGTCGTAGATAAACATTGCACGCCTCGCAATGTATGCGTAGAGGACATGATCAACTCTCGCTGTCTAATTATCGGGGACACGGTAGATTTTGTTGATTGGACCAGCAGTCAGAATTTGTCTCAATGGTTGACACTAATAGATAAGTATCTGATGAAGGCGCCATATATTGTTAACATCGCAGGTGATGCAGTGGCTGCCATTTGCAACCAGGATCCGTTTTTAGTTTTTCATTGGCGCAACCATACAGGAGAAAGGTAAGAACAGTCATGATCCAGTACATGCTATACTAGTATCTGGCGACTGATGTGGGAATAAAACGCTTGCGGATTCTACGTTCCTTGACACCCAAAGCTAAATGCCATCACATATGTACGTTATTATTTTCTCACCAACAGGGTTTCAACATGGAACACATGTACAGAACATTTTATAGCATGAAGAGAAAAACGATTTGCCATATATGTGAAACTTGCCAGTGAACACCTCATTTAAACAACTTTATTCTTGTCAACAGATGCAAATTCTGGAATCTGCGCGGATCGATCTGCGATCCATATTTTCTGAGTCTTGTTGATTACGCCGACCGAATTGCTCACAATCTTTTAGCGGTGATGTCAGAAAGAAACGCCAAATGTCTATATATAGCGTATCCACCATTTTCAGAGGTAAATTAATCATTCAAATATTGTCATGTTAATTTCTTTTAAATTTGATTCGTGTTGCTATGGATTGTAGACCTAATTACCAATCGAGTATTACATTTCTAAATTCCGGCCATTATGTTGATCATCGATCGACCATGAGGTGGCGCACTTTTCTACACGAAAGCGCCACCACACGACGATCTGCAACTACGACAATGTCTGTAATTTGGTCTTGATTTTTCTAGGAAATTGCGAACATCCTCCGCCCATATATACAGACTTTAGTGACAAGAGATGATCTGTTCGTTCGTGTGCCAACATTGTCCCCATACCACGATGATAACTATGTAATATCACTGATTGAGCAGGAAATCGCAGTTCGTAAGTGATTTTTTTCAATTGACAGTTTACTAAATCGAGAGAGCATTGTGTCTATATTTGTATATTCAAAATATAGATATTCCTTCATATAAATGTATGAGGTCCACTACATTATTTATAACATACACAACAGCGGTGTTGTTCTTTCAAATAAAAAAGTCAAACTACATATTTCGTTGCTTTGCGTAGTTTTCGTGTACAACGTGTGTAAAATATATAACATGAACATGAAGGTTAACATGAAATTAGGAAGGAACGATAATGAAAATACAATATACCAAGACCTTTCTGAAACTATGTGCTTTTTGTAGCGACAATCCATTCCAATCATACATTTAAAACAGATTTGCTGTTTCATTTCTACAGGCGCCGATTGTTTCCTAGGCAATAGAGGTAGTGGATGGTCAATCATGACAAGTTATGCAAGGAGAGCGATTGGTAAAGACACGATGTGGTTACATTCAGCGGTCGACATGCCGAAGCCTGTACATTCAGTGAACAAGAGATGAACCATGCAGCATCTACTGCTACGGGATTACCTATTAGAAAGTTGGGAGGGGGAGATAGTGAAATTTGAAGTAGATAACCTGCACGGACAAAATTCAGTAAAAAAGAAAAGATACAGGAAAAAATATTTATAAAAAAATCCAACGCATATTTGAAAGATGAAAAGCAAAAAAGGATTTAAAACAGCTGCAACGTGAACAAAAGCTCAAAACTAGGTGAAGGAAAAATAATTTATATAGTGGTTCTACCCCAGCAGTTACTAATGATCAATTCCTAACGGCTAGGTCTATATGTTTACTATAATAGTAACAATAATGATAATTTGGCTCACTGACTATCATATGCATTTGAATCGACTAATGAAGCGTTGTGTGATGAATGTAGTTCTGGTTTAGTTTTAGTATCATAGCGACTAATATTTGGCAGAGATTTCTACCCATTACTGGATTTGAAGTTGTTTAATACTAAAATATTCAAATCTTTTTGTATAATTTAAAAAAAAATATTTAATATGAAAATAAATTGAGTGATGAAGAACTGATTTCCAAACCAGCGAAAAGTCGTTGTCATAAGAAGGTCATTAGACAAGAGCCATTCTTTTCCATTAAAGACGAACTTTCTATATTATTATATTATATTACTGTTAAATGTACCTTCAAACCTCAAAATTATAGAATTGTTCTTTACGAGACTGTATTAAAAAACTTTCGCTCTATGTGATACAATATATATACAATAAATTGTTGACGTTTTTACAACGTGCGCTATACTATATATGTGCGTCTTATGGAGTCGAGACACGTTGTGCATTTACATACAAACGAGCACGTTTTGTATGTTTTATTTGTATTTGACTGCTCTATTATGTAGATATTTAGTAACTTGGAACTGCTTCATTTATTCAAAACGATTTTGAATTTATTTGCATATTTGTGTTGGCATCTCAAAACAGTGCCTTTTCATGAAACCAAATCACTTTTGTTCATTGTCTGAGAGGTCATGTCCTAGTCAACAATAAGTCTTCCAACTAATACAGTTTGCAGTACATAAATTTTACTGATCGATGTATTCCACAATTAGCATATGCCAATCCCTGTGAAATTATTATATGTGATTACACATAAAACGCTATGATTAATGGTTCTCTCCGTAGAAGTAGAGATGCAGTGAGCAAAATTTGGCGGCCCAAATTTGGCTGACTTGCAAAATACTGCTCGTCAAATCAGATAAAAACACTTTGTTGTAAATTGTGGAGGCAAACAACTACTCCTGGAACTGATAAGGGATCAGACTTTCAAGCACATGAGATGGGTGGAAGAATCAGCTGCTATTTAATATTTATATATAAAAATTAGCGAGTTCCGTAAATGGTATGGAAGTACATATATCGTTATATTGAAGTCTCTGTTAGTTCTATAGCAACCAAAACTGAAATGAGTCAGCCATCTTCAATCGGATATGAAACAAATTAAATGATTGATAATGTAGTTGTAAAGTTTGATTTTGATCTGTCAATGTATGTCAGAGATATGGCTCAACAACAGCATTAGCATTCGGCCATTTTGAATCCGATCTGAAAAACACACATTATGGCTCTGTTATGTATATGTTTGTGCCAAGATAACAGAAATGACGGAATATCAGAATTGATGCAATATGCATTTTTAACTTTAAAATGGCGACTAGTCGGCCATCTTGAATTGGACAAAAATAGTACATTAAGGTCCCATAATTTCTACTGTATGTGCCATGTTTTCACAAAATTCTTCCATACACAATCAAGACCTGATTCTAGAATGAAAGAAATGCTTGATTTTGGTGAATTTTTAACATTAAACTGGCCTCCATTCGGTCATTTTGAATCTAGCGATCAAACCGAATTAATGCGCATGTGTGTGAAAAGATGTATAAAGTTCTATCCATACATGACCAAGATGGCAGAAATGCCTGATTTTGATGATTTTTTAACAATAAGATGACCGCCATTTAGCCATCTTGAATCACATCATAAAATGAATGGACATTTGAATGTAATGAGCCTCGCGAGGCCTATCTGAAATACAGGTATAATATAATCTATAAGTTCCCCTTTTCAGACTGCATCCGAATGAGACTAAAAATTCTGTGTACAAGTGTACGTCAAATTGTTCGAAAAGAAAACTTTCTCAAAATTAACGTCAAGGATTCCCTATCGGATTCACCACTTATCTAACCTTGCGCTTTATGATCACATTTTACGTTATACTCTTCCCTTACTTGAAGTCTGCCCAGAGCTTTTCAACTAATCAGAAGCTCTTCCTAGACCTTCTCAACCAGAATGTTGTACTAAGAGCTTCCTAGCCAATTAGAATGTACTGCCTGGTACTTCTCAAACAATCATAATGCTCTGCTGACAGTTTTCAAACCAATCAAACTGCTAAACTCTAAATGTGACACGCGGGTTAGAATGTTTTCATGTCGCTACCAGTGTTGGCAATCTATTACAGATAACGTCATCACACAGGATTCTCTAATGAAAATACTTTTTATTTGGGATTATGACGGTATTTATTTATTAATGTGTTTCCTACGCCTAGGAAATGTCAGGTAATTTTACTTACCGAATTTCGCTCACCACTTACCAACCTCCATTTGAAGCATATGTCCCATCATAGAATACGTTTATAAGGTACAGATTTTCTGCCGTTCACTGTAACGAGCACGCAGATTCATATACATTTATAAACCCAGCTGTTTTACTTGGCCTAAACGAGGCGATGTGTTTGACTAGCAGGCGCCTCCCACTATTCCACCATGGCGAAGCATGATTTATAAAGTACACGGGTTTCCTGACTCGAGTGTCTCGATGAAATCAGACGTTTGACAACATTCTGCATCATGAAATATGATGAATGAGAAATAACGTTAAAGTAGGAACAAATGAAAGACGTACATGTAAAGACTAAATACATCAAATGTAGTAGATATATTTGGTGTCTTACTAGCAGTACTAGTATATCATTACCATGCATTGAGGGAAAAAACGTTTGTTTTTTACGATATATACGAACAAATCTTAATAAATAAATATTTCTTCTGTAACATTTTATGAGGAAGGCCGAGAACTTATTGAACACCCTATATCGGACACAATTGTGATCTTTGTTTTCCCAGGTGGTCCTAAAAAAATGTGCAGGCTGAGTCTGATGCC